TCAGACAAATAATCGTTTGTGCAAAACGTTGAAAGAGGAAGATAAGTTTAACCAGTTTTGTGTTTAAACATGTGTGAAAGAGCACAGAGTGTAATCTCCGGGATGCACGATAAAAAACACATCTGATCGTACAGGAGGTCTGACAGCAATGATGACAGCAAAGTCTGTACACCACCCCACACCCTGACTCCTCCCACGGCACACCCACACGTGACGTGTGTGGGAAAACACCGCACAGGGAGGACCCTAGCGTCATACACAAACCACACCCTCATGGTGTGATGTCACATGAGATTTAAAAACGAGCGCGAGCTCAGAGCGTAATACTTGTGATTTTTTTATTCAAGTAGAAAACTATGGCCACTGCAGCCCCCAAGACTCCTGAAAGAAGGATTGATGAGGTTATGGAGGATCTGACTTTGGCACCGCGGAAAAAACACGGTCCTTCATTAACGAGGTTTCTCCACGAGCCAGCGGAGCGTGTGTAATATGTATTCCACCTGTCAGGTGGCCGTGCGTGCATGTACAATTTTGATAAAAACAATCGAGAAGTTAGACTGAGCAACGTGGACGGTGATGAGAAATTTACAACGAATATGACGGAAGACCCCGATTTGATGTTCACGGAGCGAGATTGGATTTTATTTTATACAAAAGTCTGGAGAGACTTGAAAGACGGAGGAGACGAGCCTCTTTTCATTGCTGAGTGGAGCGGGTTAACAATGGGGACACGATACAGACTACTCGCTGATCATGTCCACAAATATGCAGAGGATTACATATACATACTCTGCAGTGATTTCGGAAAGGATGCATCCGTGTGTTCATGGCCCATTACCGAGAGTGAACATTTAGAATACTACGATTTAAAATGTGTGTTTCAATGGAAGGATTTACCCGTACTGGAAGACATTTTTTCTAAAATACATAAGCTTTTTCAATGGTCCGATGCTTATGAGAGGTACAAAAACATCAAAGTCAAACTGTTTCACCCTGAATGGTGCACGCCCAGCAGGAGGGGTGTTCATATAGCTCCTCCCACACTCTACAAACATTAAATACCTCCCCATACTGACAGTCTGGCTCACACTCACAACAATGTCTCAGGAAGATGTCACCTCATCATACTCACCTCTTGGAACTATTGATGGATACCCACCAATAGGATTATCACCGGTTTTGGGGGTGTCAGATGCATCGAATGGATGTACACAGAGAAACATCGACTGGCTGAATAAATTTTGTACAGATTTTGGATACCACAACCTTGCATTCCTCACAAGTCATGGTTCTGGTGCATCCTCTGCGGCTCCACCCCCAGCAGTCTACGAGAGCCCTGGCGTCACGACCGGTGACGAACCGGATGCGTGTATAGGGGATGCCGGTCATAGGATTATTAAGGCGGTTGTAGCCATCATATTGGAAATTTTAATAGACAAGCGGATGAAGCAAACATGCGACGGTTGCACTGTGGATCATCCGTCCCAGACAAGACATTCCTGTTTATTTGAGCCGTGTCCCTATTACTTCTATGGATGTTTTGACGAGATCAGACAGGAGGTCCTCAGCCATGGGTTAAAAAATATCCTGGCGCATGCTCTGACTCTGTATGGAACTACTCCGCACCTGCAAAGAATCCAGGGGTCTATCGAGACGATTTTGTTCGAACTCCGGGATGAGATGTACATCGTGGAACACCTAGGATCTATCAGACAGAAACTTGTGGATGAAAGTTGCGAGGAGATTATCTACTCTGCTGTCGATAAGTGGAAACTCGTCGCAGTCGAAAAACCTGAGTCTACCGCTGTGTGAAAATGTGGAATCTCTGCACATTCTGGATCACCAAGTATTTCTTTAAATCGCATGTTAAACACGGGGTATCAAGTCTGCTCTACAAGATTATCGATGATAATCATGCAACAAATACCCACGCGACTATGGATGATACAGGTCTAGCGAAGTTAATGAGTCATATGAACACTGCACGCGAGTCATCGAGCGACTGGAATAACATGGTGAACATATCCGTCAGCCATAACTCCGATCCGTACACGACTGTCAAAAACATCCTCGAACTAATGCCTGAATGTCAGAACTCTCTTAGAATAGGAAACATTGTATGTCTTTGTACGTATATGTAACTGATGTCTGCAGATTGTTAAGAAAGAGGGGGGCGGATGTCCCCCAAATTATTGACCTGTTACTTGAACACATTCTGGAGAGAAATTTTGAAATGTGTGTGAGGTTTATTTTACTGTTTGGATGATCGACATTTAATTCATTATGTATGCTTGTAAATCCTGAAAAAAAAAAAAAAAAGTGTGTTTTTGTAAAAAATTAATTGATATTCCTGAAATAAATAAATGTACACGGAAAAAATAAATGTACATGAAAAAAAAAAAAAAAAAAAAAAAAAAAAGCCTTTGTTGTTTGATGATATATACGTGTGATTGCAAAAAATAAAAATAAAATCTTGACAACTTTCGCCATCTGACTCATTATTCTCTGAAAACCCACAGTGACGACATGGCTAATCAGGACCTTATGAAAAAGATTTACTATGACCCTGCAAATTCCGGTGCTTTGGGGGGTAAAAACAGATTAAAACAGGCTGTTTTACAGGAATACGGTGTAAAATTATCTGATAAAGAGGTGACCGAATGGCTTTCAAGTCAGGACACATACACGCTCCATCGAACTGCACCAATAAAATATAAACGGAACCGTGTAGTGGTGTATGGGAAAAGCCAACAGTTTCAGATGGATTTAGTCGATATGTCTTCTTTTTCTAAACACAATCAGGGTATTAAATATATAATTACGGTTATAGATGTTTTCAGTAAATACGCTTGGACCAGACCTTTGAAAAATAAGACCGGACCGGAAGTGGTTAAAGCTTTTACGTCTATTTTGAGAGAGGGGCAGATACCTGTCAAGTTACAGACAGATAAGGGTACAGAATTTTTCAATAAACATTTTCAGCAATTGATGAAAAAATATAACATACATCATTTTGCAACAGCCAGCGATTTAAAAGCGAGTGTGGTCGAAAGATTTAATAGAACTTTAAAAGGACGAATGTGGCGTTATTTGACAGCTATAAATTCCAAACGCTACTGTGACATATTGCAAGACCTGACAGATGGGTATAATTCAAGCTACCACAAGTCAATTAAAATGAGACCAGTGGATGTGGATAAGGAAAATGAAAATGTGGTGTTTAATAATTTATATGGGGAAAAACGTAAAGAGACACCCAAGTTTAAATTCTCGATTGGAGACGTTGTACGAGTATCTAAAACCCGTAATATTTTCGCAAAGGGGTACGAACAGAATTATACTGAAGAATACTTCACCATAACGGCGTGTATACCCCGAAATCCGGTCGTGTATCGGATACAGGACTATGACGGGGACTTGATTGAAGGTTGTTTTTATGAACAAGAATTACAGAGGATTATAGTTAGTAATAATTCGGCTTTCAAAGTTGAAAAAATACTGGACAAGCAACGTCGTGGAAAAGTCATGTACGTTCTCGTCAAGTGGCTTGGCTGGCCTACAAAATTCAACAGCTGGGTCCCCGAAAAGCAGGTGATGGATCTACAAACCGTCTTAAAGCCGTAGTGAATTCGTGACAGGTGTCATTTATGTGAATTATGTCTGAGGAGGGGTTCTATGTCACGCTCCCGTGCAATGCCTCGAGTGGCATCTATCCTGAGAATTGTATATCCAATTACAGAACTAGACTGGCCAGAAGTATAATTTTAAAAGGCCTGTGGGAGGTGGCATTGGTCGAATTTGAATACCCGTTGACGTGGTATGCATTTAATGAGGATGACGCATTTTTTGTTATTGTTTGTGATCAATGTCTGCTGCAGGATAACCACGAGCTCCCTGTTAGGGGTGATGCGTTTCAGAAACCTCTAAAATTATCAACAAATCGGTATACGTTGAAATGTGGGTATTTTGAGGATGTACCCATCTTACTCAGGGATATAAACATCTCTCTCCCCCCGGCGGTACGACTCGTCTACGACCGTATAAAGAATAAGGTATTTCTGAAAGCACCTCACGGGACGTCGCTGACATTTTATGGCAAGCTGGCTATCATCCTGGGTTTAAAACCAGGGGTTTCTATAGAAACTGTAAACAGTTCGGATGAACATCGAGACACACACATCGCATATGCTCCGTTCCAGGCTGATATAAGTGGGGGTTTTTACACATTGTATGTATACACTGATATAATCGAGTGCCAGACAGTTGGAGATGTCCATGTACCTTTACTAGGCACAGTACACATCGAAGGTGAGACTAACAAAGTTGTCAGTGTCAGGTACGACAAGTCACACTACGTGCGCCTTAATAAAAACAGTATTAACGAGATTACTATAGAGATTAAAGACGACTTAAACAGAGACGTCCCATTCACCTACGGGAAGGTTGTATCTAAACTACACTTTAGACCCGTGAAGCAACACCTGTTTTAAAAAATGGCTTATCTAGCACCATACCAGCCGGATCCCGAGCGTTACGTCTCGTACTACCAAGCGCAAACCGGAAATGGTATCCCCGGATACACCGGCGGCGGTGTTATGTACGGTGGGGGTTTTTTATCAGGTATCGGTGGTTTGTTTAGAGGGTTGTATAGATTGGCTGTGCCGCTTATTAGGAGAGGGTTCAGTATAGCAAAACCACACATGAAAACCGCAGCAAAAAATATAGTGAGTGACGTCGTTAGCACAGCCCTAGCAAAGTCATATAACAACGATGACGGTCAGAGCGGGCATGGTCTGATGGTGATGGGGCGTAGACGATTAAAGCCACCTGGGGCCCGTATGAGAAAGGGGCGTGGTCATGGCATAAAGAAAAGCAGGAGCGTCACCAAAAAACGCTCAGTCGCAAAAATCAAAAGAAGAACTCGTGTGAAGCGTGTGAAAAGAACCACAAAATTAAAAAGACGAGTCAATACTATATTCTAAAAAATAAAAATAAAAAACATGTCTCTGCTACATTGCATGTCTGACGAATGTGTTAAATCCGAGCTGGATCTGTTTACCGTCCCTTTGACACAAACAGCTATTGAGAAGAACACCTACATCGAATACCCACCGATTTCGGCTATTTCTGATTTATCTCCGATTGAATTCTTCATAGCGGGGACGGGTGAAGATTACACAGATTTGAATAACACATTATTATTTACCCGTGTCAAAATAACTATGCCGGACGGGTCCGATTGTCCTGAGGGAGCTCCAGTGACGGTTCTCAATTACCCGGCGGCGACTATCTTCTCACAGGTTGATGTGTCTTTGGGGGATCGTCTAGTCTCACAACCGTCCAGCACTTATCCTTATAGATGTATTATCGAAACGCTCATTAATTATGGGAGAGACACGTTAGAAAGCAACTTTTCAGCAGGTCTTTTTTTTAAGGATACGGCCGGGAGTATGGATTCGACTATCCCTGGAGCCGGCAACGAAGGTTTGACAAAAAGAGCCGCGTTCACCAATGCCAGTAATGTGGTGGAGTTATTAGCACCGATACACTGTGATATGTTCTTTCAACCGAAACTATTATTGAACGGGGTTGATATCCGTATTCGCCTAACCAGAGCAAAAGACGCATTCTGCTTGATGAGTGGCGACGCCATCGATTACAAGCTAAAAATTCTCTCAGCTTCACTCTTTGTCAAGAGAGTGAGCGTGTCACCGGCTGTGCGTTTGGGGCACGCACAAGCGCTTCTCTCGGCGACAGCCAAATACCCCATAGACCGTGTCTGTGTGAAAAATTTCTCCATACCAGCAGGGGCGCGCGTCTCAAACCACGAGAATCTCTTCCTCGGCACTCTTCCAAAATCTATCATTTTAGCTATGACTGATAACTCGGCGTTCACAGGGGCTTATGACAAAAACCCTTTTGCTTTTAAGCACTTTAATTTAGAGTATCTCAATCTCACCGCAGATGGAGTCTCGAATCCTAATAGGCCTCTTCAACCCCAATATAATTTAGGTAACGCCGTTAGGGAATTTTACCAGCTGGTGTCTGCGACCGGTAGACATTTGAAGAATCAGCCGCTGGCCATAGACAGGGAGGATTTTCTAAATGGATACACACTCTACGCTTTCAATCTCACGCCCGATGACGAATGTGGGCAACACATGTCACTAATTAGATCGGGAAATATTAGATTAGAAGTGCGTTTTAGAGAGCCGCTTGAACACACCGTCAATCTTTTAATTTATGCAACCTACGATTCTCTTCTCGAAATATCAAACCGGAGACAGGTGCTCGCTGAACACCACTGACGTGGGGGCTTGAAATGAATACTGTGCAGTTGACGGAAATCATGGATAACTTCTGTGACATCAATTTTCTAGGTGTGTTTCCTAGCGATTACCTCCCCAAAGCACCATTGGTAGATACACCGGCCCTGTTAATCTCTAATACAGACGCATCGGGTGATCCGGGGCAACATTGGGTGGCGATGCACGTAGGTCGAAATGGTGTCGCGTGTTTCTTTGACAGCTTCGGCAACCCTCCGAATGCAGACTGTTTTCCTAGGTCTATTCAAGATTTTCTAAAAAATAATTCTACACAAGTTCATTATTCTACCAGACAAGTGCAAGATTATACTTCTGTTACCTGTGGACAGCATTGTGTTTTTTTTCTGTATCATATTTCTCGAGGTTTTGAGTATTAGAATATAATGAAATTTTACCATAATGATAATCTGTTAAAAAATGACTCTATGGTATCTCTTTTTGTAAAAAAATTGAAACCCCGTGTCTGTGATAGGAAATCATTCAAGTGTATACAGTGTGTACAGACTGGTAAAACATATCAGACGTATTAACTCATGGTGTATGTGCATATGTATCGAATAAAATGACACGTAAACGAATGATGTGTTTCTCCCCTTTTATTTGACATCACAAAAGCAACAACACAATATACATCTTTTCAAATAAAAAATATGAAATTCATAGACTTATGAAATAGGATAAGTCACACACATTGGGTAAAATAGATAAAATCATTTGTTAAAAATCCAACCATTGTTTACTGTCTAATTTAGAAGAATTAAATACAGCTGCATCAGGGGTGTGCGGTGGTGTTTTACGATGTCCTCGTTTTTTCAATGATTTCGACGGTACATCTCCAAAGCTATCATCTGTTGTTTTTCTTTTAAGCGATTCGATCATGTGCCTAACATGATGGTTGGCTACAGTCGAATAAGGTATGTGCAGATTGGCAAAAGCCTCCAGAAACGCATGCCACCCCACTGGGCGCCTGTTATCGCGTATCATCTGTGGTGACGTCACACTTTTCACCAGATCAAACACATGGGATCCGGGGATGATTGCCCCTTTATAAACAAATTCCCCGTTATCTGTCCATGAAGACAAGTGTTTGGCTTTGGACATTTTATCCATAATATATTTCACATTTTTTAAACTTCTCTGTGGTACATTGTTTAATACTTCAGATACGATTACATCATCAGGGGCTTCCTCAGATCTATCTGATGCATGAGCGATCTCACTGGTCTCGGTCTCAACGGGTGGGTGTGTGAAGGTCAGTGTGCTACTTTCCATATTGTTGTGTTTCACCACACTAAGATATCGCTGTAAAGCATTGGTGTAAAGTTTTGCCTTCTCGTACGTGTTCAAATCATGTTTCTGCAATATCTCTCTAATAGCTGAATCCAGATGGTCCTCCACAAAAGTGTGGATGTTTTCGCGAGGTGTTTGTGCAGACCTTAGTCTGTCCAATTGATGCTTTGGCACTAGATACATTTTATCAGTATGATCCATTCTCTTCAGATTTAGCTTCTAGTTATCAGACTAGATATGAAAGGCAGAGCTACTGATAATAAAGGCAAGATATACCCTCCTTTTTGATTAATCATGCGCCTCTTTCTGGTTATGTTGATCTTTTTATTAGCGACGTACTTTATTTCAGTCTTTCTCCTTTTTAAAGATCCGTGTTGTTTCGCTGTTAGAGGGATCTTACCATGAAGAATATTGAGTGCGACTTCGCAGAGAGCCAGTATAAGCTCGTCAGGTGCTGAATGGAGAATAGCGTTTCGTTGTCTGGGTGAGCTCTTGTATAATAACTTCAAAAGGTACAGATTTCTGGAAAGTCTCGAACTCATGTTAAACACCCTTTCTTGACGTAGACCGCCGGATAGTCTGACAGTAAATCTGTTCTGAGACGAAATCTTTCAGGTGTTTGCGGTTTATAATCTATCAGTAAATAGCTGTAAGGCCTCTCGGTTGCATCCTGGTACGCTTCGATGAAAAATTTTGTATTACCAGGAAACATCTGACGACCCAAAACACCTATCTGTTGCTTATCTCGGGGGTTTTTAAATATTATTAAATAATTTGCGTTAAGCCCTATAGTTCTGGTAGATTTACCCTGGAAAAAAAGATTCTGCACCAAAAATAAGCAACTAATCCCATTGTGATGGGTGTACTGTGTAAAAACCCTCTCGACTTCAGAACTGCATGCTGCTTGAGACATGACATCATCTAAAATTAAAAGGGATCTTTTATCGCGAGGAAATAAAGATTCATCATCCAGTTTCTTGGGGATATTTTCAATGAATTTAATATCAAAAGCATGCAACAGTTCGTCGTATAAAGGTTGCCAGGATGTATATATGTAAACAAAATTATCAAACTTCACAGAACACATTCTGTCTGAGTTATACATTAGAGTCTTCACAAAAAAAGTCTTCCCGCTATTGCTTGGACCGCTAACAACCCCGGAAAAAGGATGTCTGAGTCTATAGTCAAAAACATCTGTTTCACACATATTCACAGATATTGTTAAAACCCGTAAGGTAATGTTGTGTAGTCAGGTAGAAGGACACGCTTGTCATACACGATTCTGAACGTCTTCACAACTGTTTTATTATGCAGCGTGAAGCGCGACTTATTGCGTGTGATGGTGTCCGTGCTAGCGAGCAGGTGCGTACTGACACCTGTCTCAACATATGAGCGCACAAGACCTATCAGACTCTGCAGCGTGACTATTTGCGCGTTCTTAGCGTGAAGCGTTATCCCTTTAGCTTTGAGACACGTATGCCCATTTTTAGTGGCAAAACCATAAGATTTAGGCCCTGATGCTGAAAATAAAACCAGATAGTCTGACGGTTCTAATTCGCTCGTGAGCTGACCGAGATAAGGTCCTGTCTCAGGAATCCAATCTCCGTTTTTCGATACAAAGATAACAGAATCTGTATCGGCATAAAGGACTCTCTTATCTAATTTATCCAAAAGATTATAGAGCTCGAGTCGCGCGTATGCAGTGGTGAATGCCCCAATAAACACGTTAACATCACGAGTCGGAGAGGGGTCTTGTTGCGCGTAAGACCATTGGATTAAAGCCACGGAGTCAGATACAAAAGAGAAATGTTTTATCACATACGCATTGCTAAAAAGACGCTGTGTGAACTCTTCAGGTTCTGTCAGAAGCTCGGCGCTGGGGAGATGGCTGCGAAGAGAGAAGCGACCCCAAAGAGTATTCATGATTAGCTTCGTTATGGATCTTTTTGCCGGATTGTATGAAATATTAGAAATGTCCAGTTGAACCCCTTGGTTTTCAAGATAATCGTCGACATAAGACTGCTTATCTGCGTCTGTCACCACGTGTGAGGGAAAGCCAGAGGCTTCCTGCTTGAATTTTAGAAATGTATTTACATAATCACTGAACAAGCTGTCAGATGTTTGTTCAAAATGCCAGATTTCATCTATTTTCAACACCTCATATCCGTGTTGAATAGCTCGCTGTAATTCGATGGAAACCCACGAGCCTGTCATACACCTGTCCTCATCCGTGTGACAGCATTGAGGGGTCTGAATCCGGCTCTCAGCACAAGTCCTACACAAAGGAAATAATAGCTTACCACCGCTTCTGTAAGGCAGAACAGGGTGATAGAGCTTGCGAGGGGGGAGGACGGTGGCTTTGACAAGCCCAAAATAATTCTCTATAGGTTCGAAATCCTTAAAAAATATTTTAGGGTGGCCAATAGGATAAGTTTTACATGATTGTACGTACGGATACAAGGATGTAAAATCATAATAATCCACCCTCTCATCCTCGGCTGTTTCGTGGTATAGTTTATACGTATTTGTACGTCCTCCATAAAGTGCTTCACGAGGCGTCATTCTCTCGGGCGCTTCGTAAGATTTCATAAATTGTATCACTGTCGGATCTGTTTGTTTCGCAGCCTCCCACTCACACCCCCACATAGAAATAACGCGCAAGGAATACACTTTACGAAGGGCTTCTAGTTTATCATCCGATTGTCTCCTGAGTGCCCCGAAAGACACTCTTGATAAGGGATTAATTTCTTCATCCTTAAATCTGCAACAATGTCCGTGAAAAAAGCACCCTAAATACTCTAAAGCTGTCTTGACACCCTCTTCACTCACGTAATACCCGTCAACATGATAGGGTCCGAAGCTGGCTTCGCCGCTGTTCAATGCGTGTTGGACATCCACGTTCTGTTTCTTCGCGTAAAACTCCAGCCATTGTATAGACGCGTTTGAGAAAGCTTTATACTGATTAATGTATGCGTGACTGTGTGTGAGAGCCAGGGTGTCACGCGCAAGGAAATTAGTTTTGAACACCTTCATACACGTTCCAGCAAGTGTCACTGATTTAAACGGATCAATGTTTGTACATTCGATGAATTCTTCACGATATTTTATACACGCTAGGCGTAAAATAATCACGTCATTCCGACAGTAAAAAGTGAGCTCCTTTTTGAAGTCAAAGACCCCTGATACACCTGTGTACCATTGATCAAATCTAGAGCGCTCGGTTTGACTGAGAGTGTCATAACCGTAAAACTCTTTTGCTGGGTAGGGCCCCACGTAATTTGCATTCTCCAATCTATTGAAGTGGTGGGGGAAAAAACCCTTAACACACACACCCAGGTTTAACGCCGAGGGTATTTTTCCCAGAGACATTGGGATAAACTGAAAAGAATCGACAAAACGTTGTCTAAACACAGTATCGTACATGTATAATATACGACATCCTTGCATAATAATTTTTGGTGTTAACCCCTCCTTTGCAAGGTGTTCCGCCAGTATAAAATTGTCAAAGCCCGATGAATTATGTCCTATGAATGTAAAGCCTGCGTATTTCGTACGTCTAAAGTGTTTAACCAGAAGCTCTACACATTCTGTACCACCTGCTTCAAACGTCTCGCCGTCGTGTGTCATTGCACATACATAATTAGCTGTATGCCTGCCATTTTCAAACATAGTTTCAAAATCGTAATAAATGTATTTTTTGTCATGTGTTTCAGGCTTAAGAGGTTGAATATAGCACTCGTGGCTGCCATCATCTGGCAAGACCTCTTTGCAATGTACGCAACGCTTTGGAGAACAGGTGTGGGGTTTCAACTTATCGCCGTTTCTCACAACCCTATAAATAGAGTGACATTTCGGGCAGAAACGCAGGGTATCACACTGCGATCTTTCACCAGGTACTCGTGATTTTTTATGCGTATTGTAGCAGAAGGTATTGCTACAATATCTGAGGCAATCTGGACATTGTCTAGAGTTTGTAGCATGTGATCGGCATTCGGCCGTATTGCACACTTTACATACATATTTACATCTGTGTGTGCGTATATCGTTGTGCCCTCTGTTGCAGAATTGGCAGACATAGCTATTCCCTATAAAACCTTTCAAATTTTTTATTAGATGATAATGCCCCTCGTGATTATACAAATGCACAGTCTTTGGATGAATTTCATCCATGTTTTTGTACACTTGTAGCCTCCCTGAGCAGTCTCGATGAAATACCACAATTTTTAGATCATATTTTCTCTCGAAAACAGCCAAATTGTGATACCCTATTTTATCATGTGGTGTAAAGCCACAACTTGTATGGATTTCGTACGCCGGTCTTTGTAACTGCTGATCAGTAAGCGACGGGTTAAGGAAATAGGCTAGACAAAAACTCAAACACATATTATTTTCGAAATTTGTAGGGCTGAACAAATGCATTTTATTCCTCTCTACACTCTCGCTGATCGCATGACTTGTAATTCTTCTGCGACCCCCTCCAGGCCTGTCCATAGCTACTGAAATCTGTAACGATAGTGATGTATCAGTGCAAATCTCACTGTTGCTCTGTGTTGCTTGTTCAAGCTGTTCGATAAATAATGAGGGATCATGATTATTCTCGGGTGTTAAAACGGTGTTTATGGACGTGGGTAAACTTTCTCCAGACAACGCAATGTTGATATATCCCGTTTCACCGGCCATCAGTTGAGAAAAATCTACAATCTCATTTAAAATGTTATGCAGATGAATATTAAAAGCGGCTAAATCGTTCGTGTCTATTTCTCTGAGATTAAGCGTTCTATTAATTTCTACTCCGTTGAAACGCGGTCTTGGAATAATTGTGAAATCACCCACGCGACCACCCTCGGTAGCAAGACTGCGTATTTCTGCCTGGCTCAAACTCATCTCAGGGGGCTGGGGGTTCGTTCGATCAGGCACCCCCGCGCCTGTCTGTGTGCTTTCATTTTCGTCATGTACGGGTATTTCCCCCAAATTTTCTTGCTCTGCTATTATATTTCGCAATAGCTCGGTTGTGGTTAGACCATTTGTGTTTATCATTCGTAACTGCTCATTTATTAAAAGACGTAAACTGTTAGTGTGACGTCTAGATCTTTCGGCTTCTTCGGCTTCAGAGTCTGAGTCTGTGCGCGCTCTTTTAGAAAGCATTTTGATATGTTTTATTTAAATCGTGTAAAACAAAAGCATGTGTAGGACTACCACATAAACAATAATACCACATCAATAACTAGTCACTACTAGTTTTTTAAAACAGATACAAATAATAACCATCAAATTAAACAAAATAACACCACTCGTTTGAAATAAAAAATAAGGAAATGATCACCTTCTCATGAAGACCTCATGTAATTCCCGCAATAGTCTTTGAAGAATATTTAGTCTCTCTGAGAATAGCGACAATGCAATTGTCTGTAGCTGCAGGTCTTCCCGTGCCTGCGTAATTTCCCCGCGCACTGCCAAAACCTCACTACGTAATTGCCTGTTTTCGTTCAAAGTTTGCTCATGACAAACTCCAAAAAAATCAACAGCGCTCCTTAAATCAGTCGTATGGCGATTCTGCTGGTCTATCACTCTGTGTAGAAGTGTGACAACATCGCTTTGGGACTCGTACACAATGGCCTCGGTTTGTTGAAACGATAAAGGTTGGTTAGCAACTTCTAAAATCCGTAAAAAATTCCTGTTGGTGCTGCGAAGCATGTCATGGCTCAGGTTCTGGACATCACAACATCTGTATGGGGGCCTGAAACATCCTGCAGAGTCCTCAGAACTGCCGTCATCTGATGAATCCTGGTCAGAATCGAAGGCGTCCAACACCGCTTCCTGGGATTGTAAGAAAAACTCTAAACCCCTCTCGTCGTATTCATGTGCTAGATGAAACATAATAATAGGTTATTATATGAAATATTTGTTAGATGAAATATGTAAAAAAAAAAAAAAAAAAAAAAAAAAAAAAATGCAACTCACAATTGTCATTTGGAGAGTTCACAGCCGATTCGGTTCCGTGATATACCTCATCGTAAAATTGTGCTAGATGAAAACATAATAATAGGTTATTATACGAAATATTTGTTAGAAGAAAATATGTAAAAAAATTTGCAACTCACAATTGTCATTTGGAGAGTTCACAGCCGATTCGGTTCCGTGATATACCTCATCGTAAAATTGTGCTAGATGAAAACATAATAATAGGTTATTATATGAAATATTTGTTAGAAGAAAATATGTAAAAATTTGCAACTCACAATTGTCATTTGGAGAGTTCACAGCCGATTCGGTTCCGTGATATAAGTCTGAAAACCGTTTCCTACACGGTGTTGAAGTGGACGTGCATTGTGCCTCAAAGTTTTGCTCTGGAGAATAAAAATAAAAAAAACATTTCAATTATTATTTTAGAAATCTAGGAAAATATAAAATAATTCTAGGAAAATATAAAATATGATAAGGTAAAAAAAAAAAAAAAAAAAAAAAAACATCGTCGCTCACCTTCGCATGGATATTCTAACTCTTCCCCGTTGTCAGAATTATAGTCCCCATAAACCTCCCGAAGACGCTTAATCCCACGTCCGGAGCCTCTGAGACCGCCCGGAGCAATAGATTGTGTTGCCCCGTCGCTGGATGAAGGCTCCTGATGCGTATCCCCGTCCGAAGTCGTATCGCTTTCGTGGGATCTGTGTGACGACCCGTAGCTCGACGACCCTGGCGTCCCCCAAGGTGTGACGTTGTCGTACGACCTACTGGTCTCATCCAATGGATCGGTCGCTACACTCGCCAATACATCCCCTGAGCATCCTAGCACGTGACTGGGGGAGCGTGATAATATGTTTTCGAAGTTATTCACTTCTGACGAATTTTCATTATAAACATGTAAAAAATCATCAGGTGAAACACCGTCTGGAAAGGACTCCACATCTAAAATCAGACAGGTGTATATTAACAACAGTAATATTTTCAATGAAATGTATAACGTTTGGAAAATTTACTCACAAAGCTCGTTCAAAATTTCCATCAAATCTTCGTCAAAATATACACCCTCGGCTCCCTCTGCTGTTTCATGTTTAAAAATGAGAGAAGAAAATTAAACACTCATTTGTTATAATATTTTTGTAAAAAATAAGAAATAGACTACACCCTACCGTATTGATCTTCGGCCATGTTTTGTAGGATATCGAATCTGTAGACGATCTCGCTCAGTGTATATCGATCAAATGAGCTGGTCTCTTGTCTTCGTAAGACCCCCCCAAATTCAAAAAACACATTTTTCCTCTCAACCCCTAAGTAAAACGATCCTCCGTCGGAAAACACATCTTTCTCGAAGAATAGTTCTTTCAACTCCGCATGGGATCTGATAGCTGACTTTACAACTAGA